CACGCACGCACGCACGCACGCACACACACACACACACACACAACCACACGCACACACGCACACAAAAACACGCACGCACGCACGCACGCACGCACGCACGCACGCACGCACGCACGCACGCACACACACACACACACACACACACACACACACACACACACACACACACACACACACACACAACACACACACACACGCTTGCTGTGGCGCCACGGTCTCGCGTGCAGCGTCAAGCGTAGAGAGCCAGAGACAGACAGAGGCGATTGACGCGCGCGGCTAGCCCCTCGGATGACGCGGCACGGATCCACACGCGGGGATGAACCATGCCAAGCGCACGCCTGGGCATGGGCAGCGAGGGTGCGAGACGAGAGAACACCCACAGGCCAGTGACGACAGCACGCAGATAAGCAAGGCGAGGCGAAGTGCCACCAGCAGGACCAGCGAAGACTGGCGAGGACGCCGCGGAGGGAAAGCCAAGCCAGGCAGCCGGAGGGGAGGAGTGGAAAGGTGCAGAGCAAGTGCCCGCGAAGCAACGACAGGGAGGCGGCACGGGACAGGAGAGAGGAGGCGACACAAACACTTTTTGGCGTCGCGGCCCTGCGCGCGGCGACAAGGCGTAGACACTTTCGAAGTCAGCGGCGCAGAGGATCCTCAGGCGCGAGCAGTAGATGGAAGCGCCAATCGCGATCGAACGTTGTCGAAGGCAATGAATACAAAACGCGCACACTGTCAATGCAGCGACAGGTAGCGTGAAAGCGGAGCTGTTATTCCAAGCGAAACGTGCAGCGACCAGACAACCGAGGCGGGCGTAGACACACACCGACACACACACACACATGCACACTTGTTCTTTGGTCGTCCGCGGGCGGGCGCAGCGCCGCGCCACCCCAAGAGGTCGCCGGCGCGCACGCGACAGAAGAGAAGGCAAGGCAAGCGCCGGCTCGTCACGGGGCAGCGACGGGCAGCGGCGGGCGCGGAAGGCTGCGGGCGGCGGCGGGCGAGGCGCCAGGGCGCTGGCGAGGCGGCCGGGGCAGGCGCCAGGCGCCCTGGCGGGGTAGCGCGGGGAGAGGCGAGATGGGCCAGGCCAAAGGCGGGCGGACGAGGGGCGACCGCGGTCGCGCCCAAAGGGGGCGGCAGGAGAGGGCGGAAGGGCAGCAGAACCCGCGCAAAAGTGAGGCGGGCGCAGGGCGAGAGGGCTCGCCCCAGGAGGGGGCGCGGAGGAGGGCGCCGGGCGGAAGCCGACGGCAGAGGGGCGGAAGGCGGGAGTGCCAGGCGAGCGCCGGCAGCCGGCAGGCCACGGCCTGCCAGAGGGCCGGGGGCGGGAGAAGCTGGAAAAGGAGGGCGAGGGGCGGGCGACCGCGACCGATCGCGGCGGAGCGGGGCGGCGGGAGGGCGAGGCGGAGCGCCAGCGGGGAAAGGCGCGGGGGAGGGAAGCCCAGCCCGCGAGCAGTGGACCCGCGGGGGAGAAGCCAAGGGCCCCGAGACAAGGCGCACCGGTGGGGCAAAACCGCCACGCAGGGGCGCTGGGGGGCTGAACCCCGAGCAGGAGAGCGGCGCGGCGCAGGCACGCCGAAGCCGCCGCGCGGGCTCGCGCGACGCGCCCAGGGGGCCCACCCTGGGGTCAGCGTCGGGCATCACGGGGCGAAAGAAGAAGCGAATTGCCGACCCTTCGACCAGACAGACCAGCACGGGCCGCGCCCAGCGCAACCTCCCGCAGCCGCAGGACGGGCCAGGGCGAGGGGGGGCGGGGGGCGCAGAGCAGCCCCATGCCTCTTCGCACTTGTCACGCTTCAGCTTCCTGGCACCCGCCAGCCCTCGGCGTCGTTTAGAGCACCCACTCTGCGGGCCCTTACAGTTGCGAGGATCTCGCGAGTAGGCAAATCACACGAGCTTGCTCTGACGTTCTCGCGACGTCTCGGATTGACTTCTCGCCCGTTGCTGTCTTGCGTTGGAGTTGCCAAACTTGTTCGACGGAGTCGAAGAGCGGGGCCTAGATTTTCCTTTTGGACCTCTGTTACCCAGTTTCTCGCCCCTGCCTCTCCGATCATTATTCGCGCCAGCTGGTTTGTTGTTTCCAACTGCCACCGACTGAGCCGGGACAGCTGGTGCCTTGAGCTTTTCGCGGGTGCAACGGCAAACCTGCCCCGCTTCGGGGCAGTTCTTCCCTTGCTTGACGTACCTGCAGGTCGTCTCGCCTTTGGCGCGCCCGCTCGCTGTCCTATCGGTCGGCGAGCCGAGCCGGTGCACTGTCGCCGCCATCGCGGAAGCCCGTCTTCCGCCTCCGCTGCCCTCGTCTGCCCCGCCGCCGAGGCGAGCTTGTCTGTTTCTGGAGATGAGGGTCGACTCGTGATCGGAAAAGCCCACTTCTCGCGATCCCTCATCATGAGCAACTCAACCTGCCACACAAGCCACTGGTAGGAACGCATTTCCGCACCATGGGGATCTGTCGCTATTTCATAACACTGCATGGCTCCAACCTCGGGACTTGCTTAACCTGTTCGAAGAAATGTGCATGAGTCGAGGCCTTCATAGCGTCCGAAGGTTCTCTAGTGCCGGGTAATTCTTGGCATCGCTCCATCCACTCGTTGTAGAAGTAATACAGATCCTGATTGGGCTTTTGGCGGTCGGCATTTTGCGACCCGTAAGAAGGCGCCGCTCAGTCTGACACGAGTACTCCACGCGGTTGACTTGCGAAAGGAAATGAGCATGTTGCACCGAGATTTCGGCCACGCCTCATTTTGGTAAATTTCCCAAGAAGATTTGTAGCCATCATCATGTCGAGGCGCATCAAGATCCGGGCTGTCTGGAGATTCTCCCTAGGAATTTGTGGATCCATGGCTTCCATGATCCACAGTTGCACCGCCTTGACACCACGCCAAGCTCCAGCAACCGCCCTCCCGCAGTGCTGTTTCCATTCTCGCAGGGTCTGGACGCTTGGAATGCCCAGGAGGTTCAGTTCCCTGTCATTTCCGAGGGTTCTTCAGTCGGGGTCCACGGGGTTGGCGACGCATGGTTGCAGCACAAGGCCATTGGGACCGCTTGGTCCGCCACCGCCGCCTCCGCCCGGGTCTCCTCCATCACCGGGCCCCGCCAGGGGGTCACCCGGCGGCTTGGGTTTCCCCGTCTCATCGAACTGCAGCGCCGCGATCATCCCGGTGCTGGGCGCTGCACTCTGGGCGCCCCTCCGGCCACGATCACTGCCTCCACGTCCGCCCCCGCCCCCGCCAGATACGGCTGAGCCGCTGGTGAAGGGAGGGCGACCAGGTAGGCCACAGTTGTCGGGAGGCCCTGAAAACTTGGCGTTGACTGGGACATTACCAGGGTCCAATCCTTGAATATACGCCGCGAATGAACCTGCATTCCGGTCGAAGGATTTCTCCACGGCTGGCCCCGGAATCAATCGCGAGCTCGAAAGGGGAAGCCCGGGCACGCGCGGCGCCGCAAACGAAGCCATTCGACCGAGATCCGATTCTATCGACTGAAAAGATAGCACGCCCATGACCGCGGTCAAACCGCTGACCTGTTGCTCCAACCCGGGTTCCTTCTGTAGCGCTCGATCTGTCGACCTCTGCAACGTTTCTTGATCTGCTTTGGCGACGGCTACTTCTCGTTTGACGGCGGCCAACTCTGCTCCATGATCTTCCAGCTTTGACATTTGCAGCTGGCGTCTTCGAATGAGTTATTCTGTTATTTCAAAGTGTTTATGCGCCATACCATCTGCCTGTTCTGCCATTTTCCTCGCTTCGCTCTTGTTGCGAGAGGTGTCTTCAAGTACGCTTAGTTGTTCTCCCTCTATCACAGGATCGTCTTGTTCCCTGGACTCCTCGCTTCCGGCGCATTCAGAACATCTCCTGGCCCCTTCGCCCAGGCGTTCTCTGCGCGCGGGTTGCCCACGCCCCGCGCAAACCCTGATTACAAGCTTTGAGCATACATAACACGGCTCATCTGGCGCGGCATTCCGAGGTCGGGTCGGCCCAGCCGCTCTCGCTCGGACGGGGCGAGCAACAATTGGGCTCGGAGGGTGCTCAACATTTGTCGGCTGCGCCGGCTTTGAATTTGCTCTCTCCCGCGATCCAGCACCTCCTGGCTGGGCCGGAGGTATCAATCTAACCGCCTGCGCTGCCACACTAGGCTGCCTTGTCATCTGAATCTTCCCCAGAGGCTCTCTCGCAGTCTTACATTGCTCTAAATCAGATTTGAGCCTTCTGTTTTCTTCGCTCGCGGCACGGATGGCGAGCGCGTCGTTCTTGATCTGCTCATCTGCACGCCCCTTCGCGCGGCTCCGGGCCTCTGCCATTCTTCTTTGGTCATCCTGCCTTATGACCTGGGCCTTCTGACCCTGCCCATGGAGCGCACGCGCCGCTTCTAGCTTTATCTGTTCGACCTCGAGCCTAGCAGCATCACGCTGGTCACGGAGCTCCTCGTCCCCTCGCGCTGCCTGCTCTCGGGCCACTCTCTCTCCTTCCCGTCTGGCTGCATGAGCTATTACTCGAGAGTCAAGACGCTCTTCATCGGCCTATAGTTGCGACGATAAGATCATGTGTTCGGCCGCCCCCTGAATCCTTCGCTTTTCCCCCTCTTCTTGCGCGAGACGCCACTGAGCCACGCCCACGACCCCTGCTACTTCTGCTTCCGCTTTTAACGTGCGTTTCTGGGCACCTTCTGCGATGGCAGCCTTTTCTTGCTCAGCTCTGCGCGCCATTGCCCTCTTTTCTCCTTCGGATTCAGCGAGCCGACGGCCAGCTTCTTCAACGGCTGCTTTGTCTACGCATGCCTGAAGAAGAAATTGTTGCATCTGCGCACTTGCTGCCCTCAGCTGCCCCCTGTCTTATCTTCGTTTCTCTCCCCACTCTCCGATGGCAAAGCAAAGACAGCTATGCTCTCCCAACGCAATGCATTCCTCACAGAGCCACGACAAACTGCACTTCGGACACACGCGGGAGCATTGGGCACACACGGGTCGGCCACAGGACCCCCCAGTTTGCGCGCTTTTCCCGGGCGACGACTCTCCGCCTGAGGCGGGCACCCAGGGCCCGCGTTCCAGCAAGTTCCCTGGATGGAGAAGCTGCTCGCGGTCCGATTTGACGACGGGCGATGGGGACTCCAGGGCATCAAATCTTCTGGAGCTCAGACGCCCCGCTTTGGGGGCCTTTTTCCCGGCCCCCACTGGACGTCGGCGCGTTCTGCGCCCTCACCCTCGACCCCACGCTCCATTGAGCACCTCGTGACTTCTCCTTTTGCTCATCATATTCGTATTGCATGATAAGTTCATCAAGCTCTGGTGCGCTATCGTGGCCCATTCTCGGTGGCGCGAGGTTTTGTCGATAGAATCCTTTCGACAATGGCGGAGGGTTGAGGTCATCTGTTTCACTATTGGTTTTCTTTGTCTTTGGGAATGGGGCCACACAACTCGGTTCCCTTGCGTGTCGTGCCGGACGCGCGGCGTCAGGTGAGTGCCCCAACTGGCTGAGCCGAGGAGCCCCCTCTTCCACGGCCTAGCCCCCCGATTTCGGGGACCGTTTCATCCTCGAGATCGTCGTCCGAATCAAGGACAGCCCTTCGAAGGGCTTCGGCTGGTTCGTGATCAATCGTTTCGGTATCTGACAGGCCCACGCCTGAGGCGAGCCCACCAGGCGAGTTCTGTAGAGGATTCGGGCGATACCATGGCGCCGGAGACGCATGAAAGCGAGCGTATTCCTGTTTCTTTTCCATCGGATGAAGGCTCTCTTCCTCCGACTGTCCAGCGTTTTCTTCTTCACCCCGCCCATCCATCACAAATTGTTTGATTTGTTCGTTGATGAAGCGATCTCCACCCGCTGAGCTGGTGGGATCGTTTCTCGGCGGGCTCTCCTTATCGTAGTTCGTATGAACTAATATCCTCAGGTTTGTGAATGCACTGATATGATCTCTGATGGCCTTCCGTCGGTAACATTGTCTGAGCCATGCCCTCGCCCTAGCGTTTGAAATCTTCCTTTCATATGATGACCTATGGGGGAATCCCCCTCTGTCAAATCAAACACGCGTTCCGATGCTTTTCTTCCAGGAAGATTGAGAGAAAGAGGCCGCCCCCTTGGGGCGCCTTCCTTAGCACTACGCTCGGGATGATTTCGTTGTTCTATTTATCCGAGCGCTCATTCCTTTGATCCCATGTCCAGCGAAGCCAACGGCTGAGCCGTCGTTTCGGCGAATAACCAGTCTGTTGCATGGATATTAACTACACCTGCATTATGTTCCGATGTATCCTCGGTTGCCCCTGAAGGTAACCTCCGCCAGGAAAGCTCAGGGGGCTCCGATGAAGCCATGGCAAGGAATGAATGTTCCGTTAAGCGGATGGAAGAGATATGTGTGGTAGGAAGGAGGCCGGCCGGCCGACGACACGACGACGATGGGGGAACGACCCCACGCGCGCGCAAGCCAGCTCGCTCCTTTTTCCTATAACTCTCGAATCTGAATGGCTGCTGACGGACAGACAATACAACAGCAACGATAACAAGGGCAACAGGATGGTGGTACGGAGAGGAGCGTATTAACTGGATAAAGGAGGAGGGGGAAAGGAGGGAGGGTCCGAATCGTCTGACCCTCCCCCCTCCCGCCCACCCACCCATGAGGCCCTGCTCGGCCGCGCCCGCAGCCGCGAGAAGAGCTGGAAATTGGGAGGCGAGGCGGACCGGTGGGCGGAGCTGGCCACGGAACTGACATGTCCCACAGCCGAACTGAAGTGCCATCCCTGTTGCGCGGGAGTGGAAATCGACGCATCGACCCAATGAAGGTTCCTTGAATGTTCATCCCGACGCTCGCTAGCGGAAGTCGACGGAAATCAAACAAGGCGGAAGACAGCGGAAGGCCTGCGGAAGACAGCGGAAGTAAATGACGCCCCTTTCGAGCCCCCTTGCCCCGTAGACGCCTAGCAATGTGGTCAATTTCTGTGGGCCGGGCGGGAACTGGCCTAGCTTATTCCCTTCTGGTATTAAGTTCGGCCAAGTCAGAATCCCACCCATTCAAAATAAGGCAGACCAAAATCCCGGGTCGTTCACGGATCCCGCCATGCTGGGATCGGCTCCAAGTAAGTTGGGGCTCAGAAGTTTGTACCAATCCTGAAGTGTTGGGGTCGAATTGAAATCATCTTGAGATCAGATCCTGGCCATGTTTGGGTCACGCAGCCTTGGGCGCTCCTGGTTCCGCCTTGTTGCCATCGGGCCATCTCGGCGTCACTCGCTGCTCATGTGATTGGTCATCTTAGTGCCGACCTGAGACGGTCCAGAATCAATGGCGGGATCGTGTTGGAGTGGCGTCATCCCAGGGCCGTCTGGACGTTCTCGTGTGTGGCCCTGGGCCCTCCTGGAAATATGTTGTGGCCGTGGGGACGTTTTGGGATCGCGTGCGTGCGCGCGCTGAACACGCGTGCGCGACATGTCAGATTACCGATAGGTGTACATACGTATACCTCATCTTGCGAGGTTCCAAGGAATCATTTGTTGGACCCAGATATGCAAGTAAACAAACACACCCTGAAACCACCCAGAAAGGCTCCCGTAAAGTAGCACCACCTCTTGAGCAAAAAGAGGGTTGCAGAGATGAAGCCATTAGTGAACGCTTGGGTAGGAGGCGACACCCCGAGAACAAAAAACGTTTACAAGCCATTGCTGTACACGCACACCCATACGCTAAAAAACCATTGGCACTGAGTGGGGTGTCCTCGGTTCCCTTCGAGTTCGGTGTACTGGAAAATGCACATATCTCTAACATGGGGCCCAGACCAACCACCGCCAGATGTCTCCGAACTTCTCGCATCATTTCTGGAGCGCCCGGCATGCCCTCTTGTGCCACATTGGCTTCCGAGGCCACCAAGAAGCCATGAGAGGCGCCCAAGACGCCTCACAAGGCCTCCCAGAGGCTCCCAAGAGGCCCCCAAGAGACTCCCAAGAGGCCCCTCAAGAGGCCTCCAAGAAGCCTCCGAGATCCCGAGAGACCGCAACAGGCATCCAGGAGGCTCCTGCCCCACAGCCCAGGCACGCTGGCGGGATGGGCCGAGGCCACTGCACAGATACGCATGAGCACACAGCTGTCTGCAAAGATGCACTGCATTTCGTTAGGTTGCCTCAGACTTGCTTGTAGCTCTCCTCGGCGCCTCCCCGTCGACTCCCTCTTCGTCGTGTTCGCTGATGAGTCGTTGCTGTGCCGCTCTGGCGTCCATGTCTCTCGTGTGTACCGCCTGTACTCTGAACCCTCCAGCCGCCTGAGGCCCTGCCCGCCTGCGCCCTGTCTCCCCAATTAGGGCTACCCGCGTCCCGTTTAGCTCTTGACCGGAAGGGGCCCGCTCCCGACCCGCAGACCAAAAAAGTGTGAGGATGGATGGAGGAGGCAGGAGGGAGGGAAGGGAGGGAGGGAGGAGGGAGGGAAAACCCGAATCTGAAGGCGCTGTTTTGCTCGGCTGCGGCTTCCAATCGCACACGCCCGACAGGCACTGCTCCCGCGACCCGCGCCGTGTGGGGCGAGGACGGAGAGAGCAGCACGGCTCGCCTGCCCCTAGGGGAGAGCAGTCGCCCGCGGTGGCGCCCCTCTCTCAACGGAGTGAAACGAGAGCGAAGGAGAGGGAACGCAAACTGGGAAGCACCGCCCACTGCTCTGTGGGAAAAAACACAAAGCACACAAAAAAACAACACACTGTGGGAAAAAAACACAACTGTGGGAAAAACACACACACCCAAAAAAAAGTGGGGAAAAAAAACACAGCACACACACACACACACCAGAAAACACACACACACACACAAAAAAAAAAACACACACACACACACACACACACACAAAAAAAAAAAAGCATGTGTGTGTGTTTTCCCCACAGTGTGTTTTTTCCCCACAGGCCACACCTCCCTCACCCTACCCGCCCGCCGTCTCTTCTCCTCCACCGCCTCCTGCCAGGAGGCGCCTATCTCTAATTCGAGGTCTGGCCGACTGGCCGTCCGGCCGTCCGGCTGAGCCGAAAAGATTGGGGCTCAGCAGGCCTCGACGCTAAGCGAAGGGCCAGAGCAAGTCCAGAACAGGGGAGCGACGAAGGGGGGAGGAAGCGGATGGGTAGGAGCAGGTGGCGCAACAGGCGCAGCAGAGTCATGGGAGGGAGCCGGCAGGGCGGAATCACGCGCCCGTCTTGTCGCTCAGGCGACCAAGTTTGGAGACGAAGCTGCTGCTGGTGACCCGCTCCGACGCGGCCTGCTCGCAGAGGCCCGGCGCGAGGCCGCCGCAATCCGGGTCGGCAGCGGAACAGCCAGCGATCCACTCCTCGTCCTGCAGCCGGATCGGGACCCTGCTGCCCAAGGCCTGCAAAGGCCCAAGCTGCCGCACGCGCCACGCCTGCGCCGCGAAGCGCACGTTCCATCCGATCCACAGTAGGCAGAGTGCCCACCAGAACCACTTCTCCATGATGGAGACGAACTGCACTAAATCGCCGTCGAGCCCCGCAAGTGGGGTCTCCGAGCAGATGGCCCACGTGGGGGCGATGACGGCCAAGGAGGCCAGCATCGCCTCGAACACGATCAGCAAGAACAGGTGCGTGCACGCCTGCGCGTAGCGGTCGAACTGCGTGGACGAGCCACCGCGCGGCAGCTTGCCTTGCGCGGACATCTTGAAGATGACGATCAAGGGAAAGATGCCCAAGAAGACCTCGGCGCGCTCCCAGAACAGCGTGACTGGGAGAGAACACGCTGGCCCTCTTGCGGGACCACCAGGCTGAGCGGCTGAGGCTTGCCAAAAGAGAACAGGTGTCAGTACTCTGACCTCAGACCTGCAGAACATGACGAAAGGCTCCTGATGGACGTAGCCTTACCCCTTCAAACATAATTTGGTCATTCATTGCTTTCTTGGCTGAGTGCCCTGAGAGCGCGCAACCCCCCCAACGCCCAATGGGACACTGCCGACTCGTTGCCACTATACGGTTCTAGCGGGGACCACGAAAAGGCGGAGCGATTGCCGAAATGAGGCGGCACCGCCATACGGACGACCTCGCTGGGGCCATAGGCTGAGCTCCCTATGGAGCTCCCTATGGGGCCACGAAACGTATGAGTGATATACCGACATGGGGCTGCGCCGCCATACGGACGACCTCGCTGGGACCGTGGGTGGAGCTCCCGATGGGGCCGCAAAAGGCGTCAGAAGTGTGCGAATATGAAGCGGCGCCGCCATACGTCGCCTTCACGGGTGCCGTAGGTGGAGCTCTCTATGCGGTCACGAAGCGATTGAGGGGTGTGCCGAAATTGGTCGGTGCTGCCATGTGAACGCCCCCGCTGGGGCCTTCGGTGGAGCCCCCTTATGGGGTCACGAAACAAATGAGGGTATGCTGACATGAGGCCGTGCCACCATACGACCGCCCTCGCTGGGGCCGTAGGTGGAACCCCTTTATGGGGTCACGGAACATGTGAGTGGTCTGCCGACATGAGGCAGCGCCGTCATACAGAAGACCTCGATGGTGCCGTAGGTGGAGCCCCCTTATGGGGTCACAAAACGTGTGGGTGGTGTGCCGAAATGGGGCGGTGCTGCCATACGAACGCCCTCGCTAGGACCGTGGGTGGAACTGTGGAGTTCTCTATGCGGTCACGAAGCGTTTGAAGGGTGTGCCGACATGAGGCGGTGCTGCCATATGAACGCCCCGCTGGTGCTGTAGGTGGAACTCCATATGGGGCCACGAAACGAGTGAGGTT